AACTAGACTCACAGCTCTAACAGATGGCTGTATCAGACAAGCTTTTAGCGTAGACCAGACCTGAGCACCTCACAGCCTTTAACGACGTGGGGACTCTACTGACAACTCAAGGAGATGACCGAGTGAAATCCCCCATGTGCAAGCACAAAACAGGGAGCGAAGTCTCGATCCAGCTAGGTACATGTGTGCCTCTGGGTAGGCAGGACTACCTCCTTTGAAGCGACCCACAGATGTAAATGCAGGGTCTGGCCCAAGGGATTTAACTGAAGAGTCAGAGGACGCTCACACGCTCCACCAAGGGAGCTGGACCAAGCAACTCCCCCAAGGACATCTGTAGCAGAGTCAAGAGGAGAACCTAGGTGCCACTGTGTGACCTTCCCCTCTAAGGTCAACTTCTCACACAGATTCTGTAAACTGGACCTATAAAATGAGCTCTGTCGGCAAGAAGCTGTGCTAGCCCAACTGTTCAACAATTTCTAGGACTTTCTGAAAGTTCAGTTTCAGAATACTTGTGCCATTGCAACACATACAGTGCCTTTGCCATACAGTCATTCTTTCCCTGATTATTTAGAACAGAAGAAATAATTTGACAAATGGGAATTGCATGACCAGTACTATGAATAACTAGCTGCCTTTCTTCAGTGAAAGCTCTACGATAAATTGGCATCAATTGTTAAAGTGACAAATGCATCCTTCCCCTCTGTAGACCTTCCCACCTGTTACTCCACGGATGATCACACTATTTATGCGCTGTTAACAAACTGAAAGGTGCTTCATTTCCAAGGTGACAGTACTTTGTCAAAAAAATGAAGGTTTTTATTTATTAAATGAGAGAATCAGTTATCCTAGTGAAAATTAGAGCAACACAACCACAGATCTTGTATTAAGGCTTGTGTCACCTGCACATGTTGGCGCCCATCTCCCTTAAGGTGCAGTAAAGCAGGGACAGGACGGTGCATGGCCCCACTGAGAGAACCATGCGGAGGTGTTTTGACTTTGCAGCATTTCTAATCCTTCACCGTTCTCCCAATGCCTTCCAGCTCCTGCCCCTTCTTGCTCAGCCCCACCACCCCAGGCTTGCAGCTCTCCCTCCTCAGGAGCAGCAGTGACAGCAACAGCGCCCAGAAGGTTTCAGGTGTATTTTTTTTTTCCTCTGGCTTGGCCCACAGTATAAATCCACTCTGTAATGCCTGGGAATTATTTGTGTGGTTATAATCTCACCTCCCAGGTCATCCAGGCAACCTGGCTGCTGCACCTGACTGAAGCTGACTGACTTCCAAGGGCATAAGACCCCCCCATGTGTTTTTAAAATCTGCTGATAGAGGCAAGAGAAAGTCTGGGAAAGAAGCAGGTTAACAGAAGCTAGTGTCTTATAAGGAGTTTTTTTTCCTATAAACCACTGGCAATCAGGGTGAAGAGATAGGGGAGGAGAGAGAAGGGAAGGAGAGTGGAGTAGAGGGATTGGTGGCTTTCTTATCTATTTTCATCTTTTAAAAAAGAAAAAAAAAAGCAAAACAAAAGAAGAAAATACTTAGAAGGCAAGGTTTCCATAGGAAAAAAATATTTTATTTTTTTAAGAACAAATTCAGTTTGAAACAGACGTGGAATGTGGTTTTCATAATTTTCATTTTCTGGGAACTAATTGCAATGTGGAACTAAAGCAGATTTCAAACTTATGACCGGCTAGTTTTAAAAGAGAATGAAACAAATAAACAACAAAAAAAAAACCCAACAAACAAAACAAAACAAAAAAAAAAAAGAAAGAAGAAATTATTTATAACTCAAGCATAATACTGTGTTACTTACAAACTGGACAAAGAAATTCTTAAATAAATATTCATGGTACACAATTTCAGCACAAATATGCGGCAATTTGGCAACCTTTTATACCATTTTTTTCCTCAATACAGTGCAAAGGGGAATGACACTGCCTTTAAACAAGCTGTAGCTAAATACATTGCAAAATTCAAATTTTATACAAAACATCTTGCTCAGACTTTATAAAAAACCAACATTGCTCTATATACACAATCTGGTTAAGAAAAGCCATTTTTGTCATGTTTTCATGTGATTTTTTTTTAATTATTATTTAAAAAGGTGAATAAGGCTACTGTAACACCCCAAATCCATATACAGTAAATCTGAACCTATGTACAGCATCTTCACTTAGACATGATGGTGCAAATTCCAAGTCAAGTGACTAGGGATGATCATACAAGCAAGGCATTTACAGTAACTTTTCAAAGCTGAACCAACGTCAAATAAAGGAACAGTTGGTAGATTGTCATAATTCTGCACCAGACACAAAACAGACGCACAGTACATGTTTTTTTTCCAATTGGTTGTAGGTTGCTCTTGAGCAATTAGTCTGATTTTTTTTTTCACAGTTTAATACATAACTAGAATGTAGCCAACTGATGAAGCATAGATTTGATTTAATAAAAATCAGTATCAGTAAATCCATCTTTCCCTTTCTTCCCCCTCCCCCAAAATAAAATCTTAATCACTTACAAGAGAACCTTGTATGGATGGATTCACAGAAAGGAAGGGTTGTTGAAAAGAATTACATATGTACTGTAGTTAGTCACCATGGTAACCTTCCACAGAACCATGGGTTGGGATTTTGTTTCTCTCTTTTGGGCCAACATGCCAACATCATTTTCAGGTTCAGGAAACAGAGAGAGTAATAATTTCTACGACAGATTTTTTTTCTTTTTTTTTTTTTTTTTTCTTGCAGGTGCTCACCGGAGGTCTAAGAACCCCAAAACGTTGTTGCTACATTTTCTTTCCAAATCAGAAAGCAAAGTGTTACCATAGTAACATGACTATGTTAGAAATGTCTATTTGCATAGCACATGTAAAAGTAGAGTTTGTTTCCTCCCCAGGGTGGGAGCTTTAGGGGAATAGTCATGCTAAAGAGAAAACTTTAACCTGAAACCCCCCCTCTACGAACCTCAATGAAATCTACAGAACACATCAGCCTGTAAGGCAAGGGAAAACACAACACAGAAAATAAATGCCGGCACACCTTGTCATTGTTAGATACGTGATGCAGTAACATTGATTTCTTGATATTTTGGGACTTACATTTCCTGGTTTTCTTTTATGAGATGCTTTGAATATTTATTTTTTTTTTAAAATATGCTCCCATTCTTATTTTTGGATGGCTGATGTTTTTCCCAGAAGCAGTTTGTTTTTTTTAAAATGTGTGTGTGTGTGTGTATATATATGCATATATATGCATACGTAAACACATATGTGTGTGTGTATACATATACACACACACAAACACAAACATATATATATGTAAAATGATGACAAGTTAAGACTATTTAATTGCCACAAATGAATTTCACATCTTCTGGTGTAGATTCTGTGCAATCTCAAAATATATATTAGTAGAAAAGCAAACCAAACCAAAAAAATTAAGAACGAACGAACGAACGAAAGAAAAACTCTCACTTTATATCCCTTGTGTTCTATACACCTATTATAAATAAGACATATCTTCCTTCTCCATCTCAGTGTCATAATTTATTTTATTCTTACGGACTGCAAGAGGTTTGCCATATGTGCTTTAACTTTGCACCAGAGCACCAATGAACTGCTGTGTCAGTCACAGTACCGACACTCACTGTGCAGGGACAGCACTACAATAAACCAAACTGTCAAAAGGCTCAGTCAGAGAGAAATTCTCTTTTACTTTTAGAGATGAGAAAGGTCTTTTTCACAACTTTACCAGTGATAGAATTACAGCTCATTTGACCCGTTGGCTTATAATCATCTTGGTCAGATTTGGGTCTCTGCTATTCTCTTAAATGCTTTCCCTGTGTTTAGTATAATGTGATAGTATAGCAGCTGAGTCTGCTTAAAAGTCATCCAAAGCAGACTACATTTTTGCTACAGCTTCAAAGCTGTGTATTTTATTGCCAGTACCACAACAGCCCTGCCCTAATATATCCTCAGCGGCCTGCTATTGTCTTGTCCTCTCCAAGCTTGTTCACTTACTAACAATACCCCTTTGTTCTACTGTATTGAAGGTACTATTTTTTTCGGCACACTGGTATTTGATAACCATGAATTCCTTCAGATGCAGCCCTAATCCACTGCGCGTGTGATTGTGTCTCCTACTTGCCTCTTAAAACTTAGCATACCAAAGTGCTGTGCTATCTAAATGTTGGTTGTTTTGTTTTGTTTTTTTTCTTTTTTTTTTTCTTTTTTCTTCCCAGCTTCTAGTTTTGAGGCAGCAGTATTCAATTGCAACTGCAGTCAGCCCTTCCCTCCACCACCCAGTCCTGCTCTTGACTTTGTTGACAGCCTAACTTTTTGGCTGGAAGGCTCCTTACTATCAAACACAAATTCTATAAATGCATTACCCATTCGAGTGAGGCTGCTGTAGCAGATGGATGGAGCGCAGATCTCCAAACATTAATGTTCCATTAGTGATTTGGAAGGTGGAGTGAAAGGAAATCTTATGTGAAGGATGGCAGAGCCTCAAATAACAGAAACAAATGGAACAGTGACGGACTAAAAGCAAGAGAACTTTAACAAGTCTTACTTAGACACCAAGGTCTGTGTGACAAATCCAGTACGCACTGAGAGAGACACACAAAAGTCAGAAGATTGCATTTCAAGCTTGATATATCCTAGAGCACCTTCCCAGGATGCCTAGAGCTATTAACATCCACGGATCACTCCGTCTTCCCTTGGCTTTTGCACATGCCTGAACGCCCGCAGCACATGGCTTTGAGGATGATGAACGTAACAAGAGTACAGCAATCAGAATGGGCATCTTCTACGTAAAAGTCTTCCAGCTTTTAGTGAATACTTATTCACCGAGATAGGAATTCTACAGACTAGGTAAGCTGTCCAGCTCGTGTTGGCTCCTGGAGAAAGAGCTTGCGCCTTCTCCCCTCGTGTGCTTGAGTCAATGCTAGCGCACAAGGCGTCATCACAAACCCCAACAGAAAGCATTTGACCAGTGAGTTTCCTCTACGACTCAACTGTACCACAGAGTTGGTTGTGTGTTTCTCAGACCTTGTAATAAATGTTTGCTGGACTCTGAGGAGGCATCTCTTGAACTATGTACACCGGATGTCCATAGTCGCCGCTGACCTTTTCGTAGTGGGGGCAAAAGACACTGTCTGCAGTCCTTAGAGGAATGATAATGTCACTGGGCTCAGAACCATTGTTGTTGCCACTGCGTTTTGGGGTGGCTAACGTACTAAGTGAGAGAGTTGTCGTGTGTTGCGGGGAATGCTTCCTGTGTCTTCTCCTGTACTTCAACAAAAGAACCACCAAAGTGATGATGATGACGATGAAAATGATGCACCCTGATGCAATCCCTGCAAATAAGGCCACCTCTGAACCCAGTATACTGGAATGCCCAGCCTTACTGCCATCTGTGCTAGATCCTGGAAAGAACGGAAATACAACAGACAGAAGTTATTGCCATCCTGCGACCCGTTTACGCTGCTTAAAAATGTGTAGAGTAAGCAAGACTGGAAGAATTAACTGATGGCTAAACTTTGACAAACCAATTACCCTGTTAGATAGCTAAATGCAAACAGCCGAAGTCAGCAATCAATATTAAATAAGACTTTGTGTCTCTTGGTCTCACTTTTGTGCTGCTCCCAAACCACCCTGTTTCATACATCATCATCCATCAGCAGTGAGGACTGGCACTGACAAGGCAGCCTTTGATGCACACCACATCTTTTAACAGATGCCGGCCAGCCCTGGGCAGCAGAGAGGGATGGGATAGGACTGCGAGGGGAAAATAACACAGGGAAATAAATGACAGTTCTCAGGACAACTGGTACTGTTCAGCGTCACACCGTTCTTCTGCTGTTTTATCTTTTGCATATTGATCTAATTTAAACCATCATCAGTGCCTCTTTAAGTGGACTCCTCTAGCTGGCACATGAAGAAAAGGAGCTCGAGGCAGGAGATGATAGGCAAAATGGCTACGGCATGTATCTGTTTGCATTAACTTACAACATCATGTATTTGGTAGTCAGGAAAAGCTTGTGTGCTGAACAGCCTGTTGTGTATTTGGCACCATCACATTGTCATATTATTTGTCAAAAAATTAAATGAGCGTTCATTGACACTTTCTCAGTTGAAAATTTGAACCAACTTCCCTCTCTTGATGCTGGCTCACAGGTGGAAGAATGCTGCAGATGCTACATCCACGTAACTGTGGACTTTTCCTACTGGAACCTCCATAGGAAATGGCTGAAGCCTGCCCAGCGACCACCATATCGAAGATTCATTAGCCCAGTAACTAATGACAGAGCTAGCAAGGAAAACTTGCAGCCATTTTCGGGAAACCTAGAATCAACTGGCAGCAAGTTTTGCATTGTAGCATTCCCAATTCACTGACTTTTCTTCCAGAGATCTTGAGTCGTACGAGTTAGTTTTTTTCTTGTTCATCTAATCTCTGAAATGCATCCTGAAGACATTTGTTTGGAAATATCTATTTATCTTGTTTAGATAATTATTTAAAAAAAAATCTTTAAATTTAGTGAAAGACTAGCCATTCATGTGTAGACTTTATATGGTCAGTTAAAAGATCAGGACATTAATTATAGATGCCTTGAAATAAATTTTATAAATGGCTGTCGAGAACCACTTGATAATGTATTATACGGGAAGACAAAGACAGAAAGATTCGTTCATCTGCCAGAGTACTAAATGTAAGGCAGCATTTACCATCGTAAAGCTGCTTAGTGAATGTCCTATCCAAAAACTTTCCTGTAAATGAGTGATATTCTCACAAGATGTAATTAACTTCTACTGCAAAGTGGAAGAGGGGAGAGAGCAGCCATTGCCAAAACTTGCAGTTCCTCGACACTGTTTACCAGAGCATCAGAACTGGCTTTTGCTTCATCTCAGTACAAAAACATTTTACTTTTGTGGCACTTTAATGTTAAAATAAAATGCATTTGGGGACACAGGAGAACGCTCCGCCAGAGCCCCATCCCAGGCACCAGCGCTGTCGAACCTACCTGAGTGGTCCTTCACAAAGGGGCTGGTGGTGGAACTCTTCCCATTGGTGCCAGCTTCCTGCTCGGGGCGCTTGGTGGGATCCGTGTGCCGGGGCAGCCCCGCCGAGTTGGGATCTGCGGGAGAGAAAGAGGACTCATGCAGCTTTGGTGCTTGATGGAATGGAGCCTTATAAGCCGTTTCTAGGCACCTCATGAGACACAAATGGCTTTGAACAGAAGAATCTTTATGTAAAGGTCTGGGCGATAAAAGTACGTAATTTTCCTTTTAAAGCAAAATGGTTATATTAGTTATTTCAGAGGTTGTGAGGCCATCTGCAGAAACTATAGGGACTCCTGTAACTGGCAAGAAAAGCTTTGCAGATGACATTTCAGTTTCACTGAGGAAGTTGATTGACTACTAAACCAACTTCTACTTAGAAGAATAATTCTTTCTTCCTGCACAATAGGTTATCTATATGTGAAAAGAGACAATGAACAAAAACCCCTCTGTAATCAGAATTCATAACAAGCAAACTATAGAAACATTGGCTTCCCTCCTTTCATGTATTTTAAATAATTTTGAACAGCAGAGTTGTGGCTTTTGTTTTAAAAATAAAAATAAAAAATGACTGAAACACACTACTCCCAGGTGACCTTTCCTTCTAGGGATCTCTCCAACGAAGAGATCTTGTTACGCTAACCCTCCTCCTGTAGAAATCTGTCAGTAGCCGAGGAAGACAAAATAGGCTTTGCTTTCAGCCTGTAAGGGAGGAATGACCACAGCAGACTCGGTTAGCTCTCTGCTCTACACTGCTAAATGAAGCCTGAAAACTAAAAGGACACTGAGGTTGATCAAAGTGATTTCATGAAACAGCAGATGGTCTTTACCTTGTCCAACTTTCATGAGGATCTTCATGGTTTTTGTCTGGCACACCCCTCCCTCCTGGTTATCCAGGCCCTCCAAAGACCCATTTGATGTTGCTGATTAAAAATAAAAGAAAAATAAATAAATAAAAATAAATAAAAATCAGGAAATCAACAGGCAAAGTGATGCGAACATGAGTGTCTGAAAGCAGAAATCTGTCAATCTAGCAGGACCTGTTCTTGTTGCTCGGGTTGACCTATGGAAAGCTGTGAAATGTTGAAAGCCAAAGGAATGAATACACTGGTAAGCCGTACAATATATACAAATGGAGGAATGTGTTATCGAGGTTTCAAATTTACCCAGCAACCTTTTTTTCTATGCACAATTGACTGACTGACTGACTTGGATGAAAACACAGCACCTTGCTAAAAGGTGATGGAGTCAGCTGAAAAGGAAGCCCTGGCAGGCTCAGAGGAGCAAAAC